GCGTGCGCTGCTGGAGAAGAAGCAGTAGGAAGGTGGTTAATCAAGTCGGGCTATTTCACTTCCTTTCTTTGTTATGTCACGCTAGTCAAATGCCAGATCCATTACGTAGAAATATCACAACCACAACAAACCTGGATTAAACGCAACCTCTGCTCTTCCCTGAACACTGACTTCAGCTGCTAGCCTCGGAGCTGGAGCTCGCCTCTGTGTTTCTTAATGACAGCTACAGATTAAACCGTTGGCCTCTGTAGCCAGATGAAGTGAAACCAGCGGCGTTTTCCTGCTTCCAGGGTGCAAGGAATGCACAGCAGGTGATGTTTTGTGTTTCTTATCCTAACTACTGAAGCTAGTTTACAGCCTGTAGAAGTTAGCGACATCGCTATTTTACAGCCTGTAGAAGTTAGCGACATCTAGTAGTGAGGTTGTATCATGGTAAATCTGTAAATTTGTCTACTGTGTGCTAATATTAAACAATGTAACATTTGGCTGTCTTTGCAGAAACAATAATAGTAATAATTTTACACAGTAAAATTAGTTTCTAATCATTTCTGTGCTGTTTGACACTGTGTTTAGTTTTCTCACATTTATTTTTCTCTCTGTTTGTAAATACTCCAAGTGAATTTAAGTCGCTTTAACATGAAGATTACAGGGTACACTTAGAAAAACTAAAAGTAATTTGATTAACCGAAAGCAGTTATTCCCAGAATAACAGTGGAGCATATACGATTTGGACAAAAATACAACTTTTATCCACAAAATAATATGTAACTTTTGTTACCACCTCCATTGTGCCCTTGTGTACATTTTAAAGTATTGGATGTACAAAATTGTTGCAAAATAAATTTAAAAAAAATGTGTAAAAGGCTGTGGCGTATTGTACTCTCTACAATCAGAATTAGGCACACATGTTGTCTTCACCTCTAACTGCAAGGAACATTTACTTTAAGTATGTTCCCTTTATGTTATACTTTTAAATAATATTGTTCTAATCATTTATTTAAAACTGATAATGTGCAGTTTTGTTTGAAAATATTAAATCCAAACAGATCTATTAGCACCAAGAAAAATGTTCCACTCTTGCTCTTACATATTTTAAACACCAGGGGCGCACGATAGAGGGTCCTATGTTGGTACAGCTGCACAAGCCATGTCACTTGTACAAAGTTGTTTTTGGCTTATCTCACAGAGTCAATATTTAGTGTCGGTGTCAGAATTACTGGACACTGAGTCAAAGTTTATGAATGAAATGGTCGAAAGGTTCAGTGTTGACAACACACATAACCAGGTCAAAGTATCAGTGAGTATTACTGCAGCTAACGTTGTCATAACACTATCATGAGTCAGCGGCTTTTCTGTTGGCCATATCAACACTGAGCTGCTGCCTGTTACTGTTGGTGAGAGACTGATAACACAGGACTGGACTGGATCTGCAGTCAATGCTTCGTTGAAGGTGGAGCTCTGGTAATCATTATTGGAGTTTATTGTCACATAAAATAATACACTAACACAGATAAGAAGCTGTGCTCTGTTTGCACATGTTAGTTGACTGTTGTTTTTTTTACTAATAATGTAAAAATGATTAAATAGTGTGTAGAATATATACAACATATACAGGTTTTGCAGGTCACTTCCTAAGTAAGCATGACAAAAATAATTTACATATAACAAGAAAAAAAATTTAGCCTGAAGAGGGCAGTAAACAGAGCCTCAGAATCTGACTGATTTAAAGCAGTTTTGTGAGTAAGAGTGGGCAACAATAGTTGTTCATTTTATATCTCAGGGTCACGGGGCAAAATCAGCATACAACCAGGTCAGACAGCCAGTCCAGCAGAGGGCCACATACACACACAAACAGCCATTCACACCGACATTTATATCCACAGTCAACGCCAGAATGTAACAAACTGTGACTCTCAAACACAGACAGGTTGTTTCCAGGATGTAAAATTGCCTGCTGTGATAAATACGGCAAAACTGAGTTTTGTTTTGATTCCCCTCGGGGCTTCGGAGGTATTAGTGGAGAGGTTTTTAATATATTAATGCCATGGTGGCTGCAGGGCTTTGACATTGACGCACACTGTGAATCTGACTCTTGTTTGCTGTCTGGTCTGGTTCAGATAAATAGTAAACATAGTGTAACGTATAACCAGGTTCATCCAGTCCACTCTGCACACGCTTGTCATCCAGACCCTGACGACAGTTAATGCCTAACTGTGTTATCTTGGCACAGTCTGTGTTATTATAAACAGTGTTGAGGTCTCTGTATAAAGGATGGATTTCTGTTTTCTTAATCATTTAAAAGCAAAATGAGAAGAACCAATCATGTGCTTCATACCTTATTTTCCTGATATCCAAAGTCCATGGACCAGTTTAAATGTCACACAAACTTCAGGAAGAGAATTCTAATTTAACACTTCTCTTACATAAGCTGTTGTTGTCATAAGCTACGACAACAACTACATATCTTTTTCCCCCCATTAACCTTAAGCCTTTTTCACTTCTTCTAAATTTAGGAACACAAAATTTAAAAAAAAAAGCCAAAAGTAAATTTTGGTATCATCTAGGCATTTTGCAAAATTATTAATTAGTTTTCTACCTGTAAAAACCTTTATGTAAAATTTTTAGATATTTTTCCAACTTGGATTTTTATTCACGTCATGATGTTTCTCTCTGTGTAAGACTGGGGTGTAATGGCCTCAGGAAGATTCGGAAAGACTAAACCATAAGAGTCGGACACAGCTGCTGGTTCTGAGTCTGTGGATGTGGTGTTGAAACAAAGCCGTGTTCTGGTCTGAAGTGGAAGACAAGAAGACAAGGTTTGGCTGCGGTCCAGCCAGGCCACATCCTGTGGACAGCCGCCAGCAGCAGCAGCAGCAGCAGCAGCAGCCGCAGGAGCGCGGCATGTTTCCTTTTAGGAGATGGGGACCAAAACAGGGAGATCGTCACCAGCTGTGGATTTGTTGTTCAGATTCATGTCCAAAGGCTCATTCATGTTATGTAAGTCAACATCCTGCCTGCTCCTCCGATGTCCACTAGAGGGCAACGTTTCCCTTCTGAGGGAAATTGACCGATCGAATATAAAAATAAAACAAAACGTATTTTTTCTTTTTTATTAATTGATTTTCTAGCGTGTGATTAACGCTAAAAGCAACACAGCGACTTCCTCTGGAGATTTTAATTACTTTAATTTGTCAAGAAAATCAGGGCGCCCCCTATAGAGATTAATTAACCCGATCAAATGCATTTCGAGCCATTATCTCAATGAAATTGACCTTTCATGCTGGTGTGAGTGTTTCGACAGGAGATTACAACGTTTTCAACTTGTGCAAAGCTTCCTACCGGTTGTCCAAATGCCACGTTTGTCCATGTGTCACTGTCTCTGCGGCTCCACTGTTTCCTTCACTGGTGCCAATCAAACTTCCTGCACCAGTGTGACTTCCTTTGTCAGACTCACTTCCTGTGGGGAAAAAATAGAACAGTCCACAGAGTTTTAATGTATTCTGAATCACACTTCATTTTCCCAGCTCGCGTTTTCATTTAGGCATTATTTCACCGTGTTTTCTGTACAGGAGTCTGTTAAAGTCTTGAAGTAGTGCCTCATATTTACTGTTTTTTTCTTAGTAATTGGTAAAAAATAAAAATAAAAAATATAATATTATGGTGCAGTATAAGTTTTCCTTTAATTTCAGTGATAGATGTGACCCTGTGGACTTTTAGCTCAGCTACGTACAACTGTGTTCAGAAAAAAATATTTACGCTTCTGGGATAATTAATTTTGTGATGTTGACTACATTTTGGACTTTTATTCCTGCTTTTGCAAATTGGCAATCTTATTTATGATTTATTTGACCAAAGCTTTGCATAAATCACTGTATACAGTCATTTGAACGTACAATAAAGCAGCCACACTGACAGCCTACAAGAGATGGTTTCAGTAATTTTTAGATTTCCCCCTAATTTCAGATGGTTCCAGTAATTTTTAGATTTCCCCCTAATTTTACTCAAAACAAAATAATTTGTTGTGTTGGAAAATTAATTTTGAAAAAAGTATTTTTAAATGTTATGGTACAAATATTTCTTCAAAACAAATTAGAAAGGAAAATAATTTATTGTGCTGGAAAGTGATTTTGCTTGCATCAAAAAATAAAAAAATAACTATAAATCAAGGCAAAACTATTTTGAATTTTTTTTTAAATGTTATGGTACAAATATTTCACATTTTCTAGTGTAATTCTTAGCAAAAATTATTTTTACATTTAAAACTATTTTTCATTTTCTCTATTTTGATTTTTTTTTTGTCTACATTATCTACCTCTGCACCATAAACTTCATTCTGTTTTTTAAAAGCAATCATTTTTCTCCTTCGTGTTTATTCTGTCCTTTTGTTGCTGCAACATCAAACGTCAATTTCCAAAATGTTTCATCTCATCTAGTTGAAGTGATGTTGTGTCACTGTTTCATTTCAACCACAGAAGGATTTCCCCTTCCTCTGAGACAAACCCCAGAATTCATTTTTGTTGCTCCGGTAGCTGTGAATGACAGCACCTCCTGGCTGCACCTGGTGGGACTTCAGGTTGAGACTATGAGACCTGGCTGCTTCCACGATGACGTGTGAGTCTGTGTGTTAGAGAAACACGCGTGTCTGAAGGTTCCATTCCCAGGTGGTATTTCTGTGTATTATTCTACTGAACTTCACTGTTACATTTTCTACCCACCACTGGAACTGCTGGTGTGTGTTCATGTGTGTGTGTGTATCGTTCCTCGAGTCTGATTGGCAGTTTAGTTGCCAACCCTGTGACTCACACTTGTCCCATGTGACAAGAACAAACACCCAGTACAAATAAAACAAGGCACAGCGTGGAGTAAGTTATTGTAAAATTATATTAACAAGCAATCTTTCCTCAATTTGAAATAAAAAAATATCAGCAAATAAAGGCAACATAGGACAGATGTTTATAATGCATAATGTTCACAGAAAAAAAAGAAAAGAAAAAAAAAAGAAAAAAGTTCTCATCACATTTACAAGACTGCTGCTAAGTTTATAATGATGTCTACTAGAATCAGTTTAAAAAGCTTTGACTAACTGAATAAATGGGCCAATATACATAGTCAAAGATTGTATCAAAATATAAAAAATGTGTGGGTTGAGGAGGGACGACGACCATTAATACAAGGGGGAGAGAGAGAGAGGGGCAATTATCAACAACCAATATGTACTAGATTTTAAATGGGCAGGTCGATCATAGCCATTCCATCATGATGAACCAAAGTGGGTAAAACACAGAAGGCTACGACGATGAGGAGCACAGAGTGTTAAGCACAGGCAGGTAAAGAGATATACACCACATCTTAAAGCAGGTGTCCACACAGAGAAAGAGCAGCACTAGGTAGTATGTTGTACACAGATTCTCAGCATTCATGCACTCACGTCTCATGCCAAAGCCTCCTTCCTCCTGACAGAACGCCAAGGCGCCGCTGCCCGCCACTCCTCCCACCACCACCCTCCCGCTGTTGCCTTCCAACAGCGGCAGAGAGAGAGAGAGAGAGAGCAGAGCGGGCATCGGTGTCAACAGTTAGAGACTCAAACCGGACCAAATGAGACCGGTTTGACACCGCAGGGGACAATCTGAGCACGTTCATACTGAGGAGGGTCAGCGCGGCGACAAAAAGTCGTTTTCTTTCACATCTTTTTTTCCCCCCTCTTTTGAAAAAAAATGGAAGAATGACTGCTGGGAATAATAATACATCAATGACGAAATGTTGCCGTGAAAAAAAAAAAGGCAAGTTTTTTGAGTTTTCCTACTTTTGACTGTGACTTTGGTGACGCAGGAGTTTTTCGCATCGAGATGAGTAAAATGACGAGACAAAGACTTTCCAAGCACACAATGCATATGCACACTCTCCAGTGTTTTTAAGTGACAAAAGCCGAGACATTTCCTGCACATCTTGCACCACAACGCAATAATTAAAAAGTACAAGAGGTAAACTTTCGACCACTTTTCCTCCCCCGTCACGTTGTGGACGAGGGGACTAAGAGGGAAGCGAGGGGGGGCTACGAGGGAAAACATAAAACGTGTCATGTATGCATTTCAGTAGCTGGTTTCGTCACAATAGGGGATTGTGATCAATGGAGAAATTGTCCTTCATTTTTGAGCAAGGAGCAGTAGTCGCCAGCCATTTTTGAATCTACTCGGATCAGCAACCTGGCGTACATGTGGAACCAAAGTGGCGCCTGTCCCTGATTCAATGCTGCTGTGTTTGGCTGTGTCTTATCGTGAGCTCAAATCCTTGGAATGATGGCAAATAATGGGCTTGAGGAAAGGGGTCACACACTCATCGTCATGGTGGGAGAGTACTGTAGAAAAACATGGATAGAAGAGACAGACGTTATGAAAAAAAAAAACCAATGTGTTCAGACAGTTAACTACTTTAAAGTACAGTTCTCCTTATTTTCATGTTTGAAAAAAAAAAAAAAACCAATGTGTTCAGACAGTTAACTACTTTAAAGTACAGTTCTCCTAATCTTTATGTTTTAAAAAAAATCAGTTCTTAAATGCAGCTAAAAAAAAGCAAAAAAAAGCTTTCTATATAAAACCAACAGGTCAAAAAAGGAGTTCTCCTAAATTGTCTCTTCTCTCTATAAAGTGATTAGAAATATCTTAAGAGAAAAGAAGGCTCACGTTCTCGCTCTGAAAGGAGTGGAGGAAGTTTCCGCTCAGCTCTCCATCATCCCTCGGGGTTCCTGGAGGATTGCTAATGCCACTTAAATTGTTTGGGGAATTCTGGAAATAGAGATATTTTTTTGACAAATGTAAATCCAAAAGCCCTCTCTCCCAGATTACACATACAACTGCCTCTGCATTATGATGACCGGTCTTACCTTGTTCATTCCGTCCATATCACCAGAGCCTGGGAATTAGACGCAGACGGTGTTTTATAAAAAGTCTCTTTGAAACAATGCCTCCAATTCAAACACAGCTAAATGGTTGGTTTTAAAATGACATGTAACATCATGTGACAACTAACATTCACTACTGCAATGGCAAAGAAACACAACTGCAAAGTGTTTTGCGTGCTGTGTTACCTAGTGATCCATTCATGTGGTGTGGTTCCATCCCTGCCATGGCTCCCAGGGGTCCGTCAGAACCAGGACCCATTGGAAACTGGATGAGAAACAACACAACGAAGCTGCAGTGTTACAGGTTCACAACACACTTCAGTACAATGACAAGCAATACTGAAAAAAAATAAATAAATCTATCACCACAGATATGTTTATCTAAAGCACAAGCACATTTTATCCAATCAGTGGTGGAGAAATATCTAAATCCTAATTCAGTTTCTCCAATTTTCCTGTGCATTTATACAAACCATTACTAATCATAAGCGACCATTTATTTTTATTTTTCATAATTTACAATGTATTTATGATCAAAAACATTATGAAAAAAAAAGTATGTATCAAGTTTTTGATGTGATGATGATCTTAGGTGTTTGAAGAGCAACATTTATAATTCGTTACATGTGGAGACAGTTTGAAGAACCTGTGAAGTGACTTATTTGTGTCGACACAGACATCATAACCTGCTGCATGTATAGAAACAGCAGTGACCTGCAGAGTTCAGGTGTTTCTGTTAATGGCACGACCAGCTGAGCTCTGAAAAAGCACTTAAAGTCTCAACTGCTTTAATGCTCCATCATCACAGATCACTTGACAAAGGAGAGAATTATATATATAGATATACATATATATATATATTTGAATGTGCTCCATCTTTAAATCAATGCAGTGTTAGTTCACAGAGTCCAGAGCAGTGTATTTAGTGTAGGCCAAAGAAGAAGATTACTAACACTTACATTATTCCGGTTGCCAGGTCCAGTGTTGATCATGGTGTATAAATTGTCACCAGAGTTGTTTGAGTCTGAAAAATAAAATTAAATAAAAAATACAATTAGTATTAGATTCTGCATAGGACGGAGAATAACATAAAATCATCCTGGATGTGTAGGTAGTGCTAACCTGCAGGGCTAGGCATGATGGGAGTTCCAGGAGGTCCTCCACCTCCAGAGGCCCCCTTTGGAGGAGCAATAAAGGTAAGAATGTTAATGTTGCCGAAAACACAATTATTTCTATATGATGTGTGTGGGAGGGAGGAGGTGGGAGGGATTGTCGTGAGTACTCACCCCATATGCACCAGGAGAGGGTGATGAATAAGGCATCTGGAACCACAGACATCAACATTACAGACCAGAAAGGTCCGGTGTGAGCTCCTCTCCTATACCTCAAAGTGTCATCACTCATCATTCGCTCTTCCTAAGTCTGTTACGGCTGACCGACTGAATGTGTGTGTGTGTGTGTGTGTGTGTGAAAGCCATGACATATAATACTGCAATTACATCTGGGACTAGACCCTGTGAAAACATTAGACTTTTACATCTGTAAGCACAGATCTGGCTGCAATCTGAACCCTGGCGACCGTGAGTGTGTGTGAGTGTGTGTATATATTAGTACTCACAGAGTTGGCATTGTTCGGATTAGGCCATGGCCGACCAGTGCCTGGCCCCCTAGAGGTAAGGATCAACAGAAATGTAGTTTTGTTATTTTATTATTTTTTTTAATGGTAAATAAATATATATTTATGAATGATCAGGGCTCACATGTTCACTGGCATCCCAGGACCCATGGCGTTGTGTGGTGGCCTCATTCCTCCACCAAAGTTCTGAGCAGACAAGAACACAAACAACAGAGTGGCAAAATTTCAATTTAGAATTTTTGGATGATTTTAGAATCTTAAAATTATGTCACCGCTAATAACGGTTCTCGTAGAAAGAATAAACACAAAAATGATTTGACACATGATGTCATCTGATTACAACACCATTACAAACATCTCTTTATATCAGTTATCAGTATATATATAATAAAATCTGTGAAAGACGCAGCTCACCTGTGGACCCGGGCCCATTGGCCCCATGCCTCGGGGGCCACTCATTCTCTGCATTGGCCCCAGGTTAGGGTGTCCTGTAGGAACCAAGGTATTTTTAGTGGGATAAAAAAAATAAAAAGAAGAATTTTCTGTTGAAGAGTTTGTATTCTGTAAGGCTGTCAAACAAATTAAAATTTGATTTTGATAATTCACAGGCATGCAGAGAATCATCAGCAATTAATCATGATTAGTTAACATTAATCAACATGACAATTTTTTTTTTTTTTGCTCAGTTGAAGACTTTAAAAAAACATGCAGGTGCTTTGGTGAAGAAAAAAAAATGTTCTCTTTCCAAACACTGTGTTAGTGATGTGTTTATCAAATATATGATCAAAATCATTCAGCCCATGCATCAACACTCTTTAATCTAATTAATTTCATAATGATCCCAGCTAATAAGGTGCAGTTGACAGCCCTAGTATTGATTCAAACCTTGTGGTCGAGTTGGGTCCATGTTGGGCAGCATAGGATGAGGACCTGGTCCTCCACCTGGAGGCTGGGAGGGTTAAAGATGACACGGTTAGCCTTGTGTTACAGACACATGTTCTGTATCATGTCTGTATTTTGTGCCATCTACCTGGTTGCCCATCCTGATGGGGGGACCTCTCGGGCCTCCAGCGAAGCGAGGTGACATAAAGGACTGAGACGGAAATAAATAAAATAAATTTACCTCACATCAAAAATGTCCCAAAAATAAAGTATCATTCAGCGTGCCTAACGGCAAGATTTGTGGCTACTGGCGGCAGTGCGAAAGCATTAAGCTGAGACGAATGCCAAAGCATGACGCATCAGCACTGAGAAACCCAGTTCCCAAATGACTGCAGATAGCAAAAAACACAGAACGAGAGAGTGAGAGAGAGAGAGCGAAGGAGAGAGAGGGAGCTTTACCTGACTGTGAGGTCCCATCATACTGTTAGGGGGAGGAGGCTGGGGGTGAGGAGAGCCCTGGGGACCAGGAGGACCCTGTGGCATTGCACAAAAACGAAGAGGCAAGGACAAAGACAAGGGGAGGGAGAGTGTGAAGGATGGGGTGAGTGAAGAAAGGAGAATTGAGAGACAGCAGTGATGAAGAGAGACACAGACAGGAGAAGCTGGGTTACTGCAGGGCCAGAGGACAGTCAGAGAGCAAGAACCAAAGCTTGCTGCAAAACAACAACAACAACAAAACAAAAACAAAAAATGTACAAAAATAAGACGCAAGTTTTCCTATATCCCAAGATGGTAAGAGAGGAGAAGGGGGGAGGAGGGAGAGACAGCGTGAGAGAGAGAGGCAGCAGAGAGGAGCAAGCAAATGATTTAGCCTTGAATGAGAGAAAACAGTCAGAGACATGGAGAGGATGTGTGCTCTTTTGCCTGTCAGTCATGACATTAAGAAGCCTGCTGCATGCACTATGTTATCGCTGCTAATTCCCTAAATTAACAGCATCCATTAAGGCCTATGCAATTAGCTTTATAACAACATTAAACACTGGCACTGTGTTGTTAATGTCAGGGAATAAGAGCTCTAATTTAGACTCCTTCTGGATTCCCATATATATATATAAAGCGTGTGTGTGTGCAAGCGCCAGGGTTTCATACATCAGTGTCAAAAATGCTATTCCTGATTATCAACACGATCACATAATCAGACACGGCTTTGTGGCTTCACGAGTGGATCGTGTGATTGAGTGGAGACGGGGCAACGTTGAGATTTTATGTCCCATTTTAGAAGTAAGTTCCACACAGACGGGAGTCGGGAGTTTATCCACATGGTATTGATTTACAGTAGGTGCTGCACATTTCGATTTCTCCATTAGGGAAAATGGCCATGGCTGCCTGTTTACAGCACTGGAGAGGCCCGCGCAGACAGAACGTCTGTGATGTTTACTACCGAAAGTTCTGTCAGCTGAGTGGAGAGAACAAGACCCGAACAAGATCAGTGCAGACCCTACAGTACCAGCATGTACACAGAACCAAGAACCCTGAACGCAGCACGTGAATCTATAGGCTGGTTTAATAGCTACCCCGTGGAAAAACCAAAAAAGTGGGGATTCCACTTCAAATATCAAGTGAAGTTGGACTCACCTGGAAAAAGCCTGGTGGCATGGGCCCTCCTGGCATACCATCACCAGGGGGCATCCCTCCCATTACAGGGCTTGGGGCTGCTGCTGCACTCTGGGGAAAAAAAAAATCAAAAAAGGAAAAAAAAACATTTTAACAGTGAATTGAAAATACTTGATTTTTAACAGCAAATGTTGCTACATTTATTTGAACTTTATTTGGCACCGCTGTCAGCTAACAGTTTGCTGTAACCGTAAACCAAGAGTTCAAACTAAAGTGATGGTATCATTGGTGATCGGCCACTAGAAGTGAATGATGTCATGTTTATCTGCAGGAACGTTGTCCTCATTTTAACTTTTTTTTAGGCAAGGTAAAAAAGTGTACAAGTCAAAGATAACTTGAACTGAAATTATGCAAACAAAAGACATGGCAATAAGGCAGCAACAAAAACCTAGAGACAGTTTTTAGAATTACATTAGGTAGAACATTTTCTACTGGGCAATAATCACATGAGTTTTTAGAATTACATTAGGTACAACATTTTCTACTGGGCAATAATCACATTAAACTGCCTGGAGTGAATGTTTTTTTACATTTTACAGTTAGAGAATTAAAAATGTACAGTCATGTAAAAAATGTTTTATAGCCACGCGTGTAAAAAAGAGAGGGAGTCGTTGTGTGTAATGAGCCGAGGATGAAAAAAAAAAATTTGATGTTTAAAAATATGAATGATACACAGATACACTGTAAGAGGAGTATTAATAGAAAACCTTTTTGAGGCCTCTGCACCCTACTGGCCCAGGAACCAGTAGATCTGATAAAGCTCTGTGGTCTCTATCCAGTCATTGGTTCCAGAGTGCTGCTGCACAGTGGGGGCCTCACTGGACCGACTTCCTGCTTAAACCACAGCTCTAATTCACTAATGTGCCATTTGCTTTGGTCACACTCTCCTAATTGCCTGAATTTTCTTCCCTGTTGCTGCAGCAATATGAGATGAGCTAATGTCTACAGAGCCGCGATGGGGCGTGGCTTGCTGAGGAACGACAGAAAGAGAGGAGCGCCCTCTGTGTCCCGTTCGTCGATGCGGTGCTCACCCATGTTGCGCCGCAGACGGTCATGAGACAAACGCACGTACGGGCAGACGCAAACAACAGAACACTCCTCGACCGGAGCCCCGCAGCCGCAGCTCCACAGACTCCTCTGGTCAACAGCCAACACACTCCCTGATATTGACTGCACCTCCTCTAATTATATCTGCTGGGACGACCACTGCAGGGCTACTGTGAAATGCCTCAGCAGGGAGAGAAGTGAAGCCGGAGGGACGAGTCACATCGCAGCGCCACTGAATGTAACCCATCTTTCCTGATACAGAGGTGGTGTGGCGGCAGATTAAGTAAAGGGAGGACGTACAAATCTGGTCCACCGTTACAGAGCAGCGTCTAGTTTGACAACACGTACAGAAACGTGCAATAGTTTTAAGCAGTTGTGGATTCAATTAGACTACAATTATGAGGCCAACTATTATGATTTAAAAAAAACAACAAATATCTCATGTTTGAGTCCCCCACCCTCAGTATGTTCTTGTTTGAGGTATGCACAATTGTGTGCTTGGAAAGCACAGTGTAGACAAATAGATCCTCCTTATTGGCATAGAGAAAACACATCCTGTTTAACGAGAATAAAACTGCCCCGGCAAGTCAGACTGAAGCTAGTTTTGCAAGACATTAGGAACTACGTCCACCTGAAACAGTTACTGTGTAGGAAAGTTAACGACCTGCAATCACTAAATTAACAAAATAAATAATGTTTTGTTTTATTGTCATTATATTTATCTTTACCTTTGTCATAGACTCTGACCGCTGTTTTCTAAATGCCTGTTTTAAGTTACATAAAAACTACAAAGTGTCTCATAATAATTAACTGCACCTGAGAAAAAAAAAAACGTAGCTAAATGCTGACGTTTTTCTCCTGAAAGAAGCAAAACGATTTCACCACGCTAAGTAATTGTGAGCAGATGCCGGTCTATTACGAACTCAGCGCAGATAAGAATCAACATTTTATGGCTTCTTTTACAGTGGTGTAGTATGCGCTCCTTCAGTCACTCTGTCTGGCCCCTTTGTAGTGAAATGGCATCTGAAGTTAGCTTTGTCCCTCTGCCCTAAGTGGGCTATTCCTGGAAAGAAATAATGAATTAAAACACAGCTATATTTAAAAGGGTATTGACTAGAACGTCATAAACCTCGAGTCAACAACCTACATGGCCGTGTGGAAGTGGAAAAAGAAAAAAAACAAAAAACAATGTGCAGCATGGCAGCGTCTCAGGCTCGTTGTGTGTCAGATTTTTATCATGTTTCTCCCAAACCTACTGTACAGCCGTGCTCTCTGGATCCTTCCAAATGTTATAAAGCCACCTTTGGGTTAAAACAGACTCTCTGGTCCAGTGACAGATGTCTGTGCCCTGCCTCAGGCTATGAGGCTCTTGTCCAGGGCCTTCCTTACAACCTCCCAGGGGACCTTCTCAAAGACAGCCAACCCACCCCCCCTCCCTTCCAACTCGCAATGATTCAGCACGTACATGTTAGTACTTAAAAGCATGCAAGCAACTCCAGACAAACACATTTTCTCTGAATAATTAAATCAGTGAAGAAGGTTACCAAAGGCCAGATTGGTGGCGGATGTCTCCTTTTTAAAAAACAAAAAAAAATTGGAGACAAACACAAGCCTGGAGATTAACCAATTTAAATGCACAGAGCCAGGAACCAAGTAAAACTGAAGAGGCAAAAGACTATGACACACAAATGATCACAGAGCGGAGCTACAGCACAGACCACCCAACTGCTGGGTTCTGACCTCGCCAGCTTACAGCAGCCTCACTTCTTCCACTGGAACCGAGGCTCAAAGGAAACCAGCCCTGATGTTTGGCTTGTAAATGTTTAACCATCAATCAACATCATAAAAACCCACTAGATCCTGATGCGGCGCGGGCGCTCTCACCCTCTGTGCTTACTTGTACCAGTTTCTTTTTCACATCTCGTATACCTCTGGTCCCTTTTTTACCCCCAACCCCCTCTCCGCCTTATTCCCTCAGCTCCCTTTCTGTGGAGTATGCTGGGCATATGCCACTGTGCCACTCCCCTTTCCTTTTTTCTAATCTGCCCTACAGCTCTGTGACAGCCATCAATCAGCCGCTGACACCATGGCGACAAGGCCCCTTGGGGGGCGTTCATCAAGCTCAGCGTGAGTACGCCTGGGCTTTACGAGCGCTGCCGTCTAACAGAGCAGTGATCACCTCCCCCACACCTAGACAAAGGCTAGGGTCCAAGGACTAGTACTGTCCACACACGCGCACACACACACACACACACACACACTCTGAACTGAGCCAATGGTTTCCACAAATGAAGAGCAGCACACCAAACGACAGAGCAAAGGGTAACCACAAGATGTCGGGGGAAAACCAACCGCACCGAGAGCTTCGCACCACAGCAGCAGCAGCAGCACGCTGTCCAGACTGATGTCACACTCATTTCTTCTATCATTTAAAAAATGGCCTTGGTCACATGTAGGGGGTGTGATGTAACACCTTTTTTTTTCATTTGTGTGTATGGCAAAAATATAACATCATGATGTATCATTTATGTTTTGTTTTTATTTGTAACTCGGACAATTTTCGTTTATGGAAATGTTTTAATGTGAGAAACGTCTCGTTTCTAAATAATCCAAAAGTATATGTAAAATCTAGATTAAATTATTGAAAAAAAAACAAAAAACACAGCCGTTCTCCTGCCACCTAGGTCACCTGCCAGATCAGGAGGCCTGTTACCCTGACAACAGTGTCTGACAGGAGAGGCATCAACATCTGGGGTTTAACACAACCCTACCCAATACAGCACTGACCAAACTGAACTTGTTTGTGAATCAGTCACTAACAAAAACTGCTTCACCTCTAATTTTTTCTTAGATTTGTTTCAATCTTCTCGTCCAGTCCTTACTGACACAGTTCCACAAACACAAAGATGAGAAGTGGAGATGAAAAATGCCAGGTCACACTCAAAGCCAAATGCCAATAAACCACAACATTACTAGCATTACTGGAGCAATTAGCAAACAACTGGTGACATTTTTTCAAAATCATTTACAAGTCATTTTGGTTGTTTGTTTCGTTTTTAATAACCTGCATATTTATTAGACAACTTGACCTTTTGCCCGTTCAGGGCAGCGAGGGGCCACTGTTAAATCACACTGCATGTCTAAAATCTTGCAAGTCGTGCCGGACACATATTAGCTACTTATTTGCGATCACAAATCAGGCTGGGTCCCTGAGCGTAGTGAGGATAAGGGGTAAAAGCACTCGACAGGTCTGACTCAGGGTGTGCTGACATCAGCATCATTTTCCCAGAAGCCTATAAAGCTTATTGTCGAGCGCATCATTCGTCCCACCAACAGGGCAAGATGACAGATCATTTAGGACGAAAAATAAAAAAAGGCAACAAAAAAACCCCACAAACACCAGCCAGAATTACATTAGTTAGTTTAAACAGCTACATAAGGGGGTATAAAGAGGATAACAGGAAGTGATTCATATCTACAAAACACTGTGTACGTTGTAGTCTAATACCTCCATCGGAAAAAAAAACGACCAGAAGTAACGCTTGTGAGAAGCAAAGCATGAGACGTTATAAACACAGACAGAAGAGCTTCCTCTTCAGCCCAAACAAAACAAAACAACAACAACAACTCACTGAACAACATGATTTGTAGAGAGCACCATTGTACGATTCAGCCTTGTGAGAATGTACGCACTACTCACATAATCATGGAAGGCCTTTGCTTCACTGGAGTGGTCACATGTCTCCCTCCTCTCTGGAGCAGCACAATACAAGTCCCAGAATACACTGTGGACAAGACAGGTCATGAAGCACGCACAGGCAACCACACAACATGGACACATCTACGAGACAGACGAGAACACAACACTGCTTACCACCACCAGGAATGTAGGAATCCAGGGGGTTCTCCGAGTGTTATGTTTTTCTCCCATCGAATCTTAAGAGAACAGGATTTCCACAGTGAGCACATTTTATTAGCGCCGTCGTAGCACACATGCTACAAACTAATGTGCAACATAAGGCTTAGGTAGATAAAAGTAAAGCACCACATACCTCTGACAAAAAGGTCTGTGCTGACTTCTGTGCTCCGATGTGTAACAAATACTCATAGACGTACAGAGCCAACCTGTGCAGGAAACAAATTTATATTAAAAAAAAAATCTATGTCTATATGGTTTTTTTAATCAACATTAATCTACAATAATTATGATTATTTTGCTCAGTTAAATAAAATGGTTGCAAAATGAATGTCACACTGTGTTTGGTTTAGCAGCACCTGGTGGTAAACAAATATATTGTGAATAAATGCAAAACGTTTTGTAGCCTTATGTTAAAACACACAAAAATAATCTTGTCCTAACTGTGGACTAATGTTTACAACATGGTGATCTGTACAGAAGACTCATCAAATGTATGCAATGTTTCCAAGCTGTCATCTCATTTACATTTTATTTCTGTAAGTGATAATAGAATATTAAAGTAAATATTTCAGTTCAATCTTAAAGAATGTATCTCAATTCGTTACGATATAATTGGCAGTAAACAAATAAAATGACAAACCGTTGTTTTATTAATTAATTGAAAACCAGTAATGTCAAAGAACCATATGGTTCCAAAACGTTGCCACTGTTTCAAAATGTAAAAACCTAGTCTGTGTTTTGCCTCAAAAGTTTTTTGTGCACCATTTTACAGACACATGCTAAACCTTTATATGAAAAAAAAATAAAATAAAAGTTGTGGTTTTAAATTGTTGTCTGTGTTGTATGACTAGTGTAGAAAATCTCATCCCCAGTCTTTGGTTCAATTTTCTGCTGAGGGACTAAGACACAGGCCCTCTGAACAATGGCTGCCAAATGGCCAATGCCAAAAAAATTAACTGGGGACTGTGCGACCATGCGAAGCCTGGTGAAGACTCTCAATAACGACAAAGTAGAGCAGCGTTATCACTGTTTAAAAGCAGAATTGATGGTTTGTGCCACGAATCCACACGAGCTGCCTGCCGTGTATTCATTAGCTACGGCATCCTGGTGCCACTGATGGGGCTGAGGGGAAATAAAAACGGAGCCCATCCACAGAAACAATGTAGCACCGCGGTGTTATTGTTTCATTCACTCGCCGAGAACTGGTCTACAAAACCCCGCAAGAACGTTAGAATACCGCCGTTTTAAACATAACCACAATCCGCCGTCGCAGGCGTAAAGAGAGACGCCAATTAGCCAAAGGCGGCAGGGAGAC